TTGTCACTTAAATACTCATTTATTGTTTCTGTTAAGTAAGTTAGTTTTGCTTTATTTGTTTCATAGAATGGTTAATTTTGTATTTATTGGTTCTTTTGTTATGTTGTGCCTCCCTCATTTTGTCGACTTGGGTTACTCCATCCCTTTTTAAGCAGCCTTTAGTTCTTTGTTTGGAGGTCAGTTTTCTGTTTGAGTTGGATCCTCAGTTGACCTCAGTTAAGTTGGGCCCAGATTCTGTATTTAAGTTATTTTGTATTGCTTTTGAGCCTTTGTTAACTCTTTTTACACAATTAAATGGAAGAACTTTTTCAAATTTTGAACACCTTTTGTCCTTATTTAAGTTTGGTCCCTCACAGTTGGTGTCAGAAGTGGGATCCAATCAGTTAAGGACATTGGTGTATTTTTTTTTCTTCCCCTTACCTCTATACATTTTTGAATTGACAACTTTTTGTTGTTTTTTTTCTCTGTCCACCTTCTCTGAGAGGAACAGTTGCCAGAAATGCCTGGAAGGGGAAGAGGAAGAACAAGAGGACCAAGTTCTGAGCCAGATGAAAAAGAGACTGCTGAGGAAAATGGAGCTGTTGGTGGAGTATGTGACATAGAAGAGGGGAGTGAACCAACATTAACCGACTTGGCTAATCTTCTCAGAGCCCATATTGGACAACAAAAAGCCAAGGAGGACTACTGGATCAGAGAAGCTGCAAAACAAGACCAGAAATTTGAGGAACTGGAAAAACAGTTCAGCTTGCTTAAAAGGGAGACTCAACAACAGACCCCTCCCCCACTGTGGCCTACACAGCAACCAGACCCTGGAATAGCAGCTTCACAGCAACATGGTGTATCAGGTGAACTTCTCTATGCACATTCTCAGGTTTCTAAGACACCTAAATTACAAAAACTTAGTGAAGATGATGACATTGAACATTTTCTCATCACTTTTGAAAGAATGGCTTCTGCCTGCCAATGGCCAAGAACTGACTGGGCCTTTCACTTAATACCTCTGCTAACAGGCAAAGCTAGAAGTGCTTTTGTACATATGGATGTTGATTCATCAATGAATTATGACCAAGTCAAACTAGCTATTTTACAGAAGTATGATATCAACAGTGAAACCTACAGGCAAAGATTCCGTTCTCTTCAGGTGGAGCCTGAAGAAACCCCAAAAGAGCTCTATACAAGGTTAAAAGAGCTGTATGGAAAATGGGTGCAACCTAAGGGTAAAACAGTTGAACAAATCAATGAAATTATGATTCTTGAGCAGTATTTGAGAATGTTGTCACCAGAATTACAGGTGTGGATAAAAGAGCATAACCCGAAGACTGCAAAGGAGGCGGCTGAACTTGCTGATGTTTTTGTGGCTGCAAGGAGGAAGAACTCATCTTGGGCTTTACAAAGCTGGAAAAAGGATGACCACAGGCAGCCTTTAGCCCAACAGGTTTCAGCTGTGGGTAAGCTCCCTGTAAAAAGATTTGACTCAAAGTTTCAGAGGAAAAAGCCTGTCTGTTACTTATGTGGACAGGAGGGTCACACCAAACCAATGTGCCCTCAAAATGCTGTTAAACTGTCCCAGATGTGTTTTGTGCCCAGGGAAGAGACTCTAAAGCCTGGAGCAATGCAGCCATTTATGGAGACCTTTTTGGAACTCAACGGTCAGGTACTGAAGGCTCTGATTGATACAGGGAGCACACAGACCTTGGTCCAGCAAAGGTATGTTTCACCCCAATCTGTTTGCACCAGTGAAACAGTCCCAATTCATTGTGTCCATGGCGATGAAAGGAAGTATCCAACAGCAGATGTCTATGTGACTGTAAAAGGACAAACTTACCTTCTTAATGTTGGAGTAGCAGAAAACTTGCCATTTCCAATTATCCTTGGTAGGGACCTACCAGTGCTTATTGACCTGATACATTACCCTCAGTGTAATGTTGCTTTAACTCGGGCTCAAGCAAAGCAGTCTGAGGAAATGGTTTCTGACCTTAGTACATTGCCATTTTACAATGTGGAATTTTCAACAGAGAAAATCAAGGTCAGGAAGTCCAAAGCCTTGCGGAGGAAAGAAAAGTTTCAAGGGACGGTGGTAGTTCCCTCTGAATTGCCGCAGCCTGAGGTACTCCAAGATTTTAAAATTCCTGGTAATATATTGGAGCTGCAGCACCAGGATCCAGATCTTGTTAAGTATTTTAAAGAGGCCAAAGTCAAGAAAAATGGCTTCTGTATTCAAAATGATATTCTCTACAGAGGAAATGGGCCAAATAAACAGCTTGTGGTTCCAAAAACAGTTAGAGAAACTGTCCTGAAGTTGGGCCATTCTATTCCCTGGGCTGGCCACCTGGGGAAACCTTAGCCCACATAAAGTGTTGTTTTTATTGGCCTGGCCTACGTAAAGATGTTGTGCAGTTTTGTAGGAGCTGTCCAGAATGTCAAATTACATCAAACAGACTCCCCAACAAAGCTCCTCTCCAGCCTCTTCCAATCCTCAGTACACCATTTCAACGCCTGGGCATGGACATAGTGGGACCAGTGGAAAAGAGTAAAACAGGGAATCGATTTATGCTGGTGATTTTGGATTATGCAACTAAATATCCAGAAGTTTTTCCCCTGAAAGTTGTCAAAGCAAAGAATGTTGCATTCTGTTTGGTGCAATTCTTTGCCAGAGTAGGGTTTCCTCAGGAAATACTTACTGACCAGGGCACCAATTTTATGTCGAAACTGCTTAAAGATGTGTATCAGTTGCTGGGAATTAAGGGATTGAGAACAACACCTTATCATCCCCAAACTGATGGACTTACTGAAAGGTTCAATCAAACCCTTAAACAAATGCTGAGGAAATTTGTCAATGAAACTGGCTCTGACTGGGACCAGTGGCTTCCATATATTCTGTTTGCATACAGAGAAGTCCCACAGGCCTCTACTGGGTTCTCTCCATTCGAGTTGGTTTATGGCCTTGAAGTGAGGGGACCCTTGGCTGTTCTAAAAGAACTATGGGAGGGGAAGCAAACTAACAAAAATCCTCTAAATGTTGTATCTTATGTACTCCAGATGAGGGAGAAGCTGGAGAAGATGACGACGTTGGCCCATGAGCACATGAAGAAATCTCAGCATAAACAAAAGGCCTGGTATGACTCTGCCGCCCGGGAGAGGGGGTTCCAGCCTGGCCAAAAAGTGCTTGTTATGCTACCTTCAGAGGATAGCAAGCTGCTAGCCAAGTGGCAAGGGCCTTATG